CATCCACCCTGATTGAATTGGCCCTGTCAACACTGGTTCTCCACTTGCGAAGTAACTCCCTGCTCAACATGTGTCAGCATATAATGCCTGCATCTATAACTTTCACTCTATGCATCCGAAGAAGTGAGCTTTTTACCCACAAAAGCTTATGCCCAAATAAATCTGTTAGTCTTTAAGGTGCCACCAGACTCCTTGTTGTTTTTGTAGATACAGTCTAACACGGCTACCCCCTGATACTTGACACTAAGGAAAAAACAGTTTACTTCTAAAAACTTGGCCCTGATATCTTACTGTGTGTTTTTTTCAAGGCATAGTTCAGATTATTTGGGGCTAAAGAAAGTCCCCCTTCTTATTTCCTACATAATTTAAAGCCCACCTAACAAACCCTGGCAATATTAAACCAACCAGGTTGGAACCAGTTCTGCTGTAAGTGAAGACTGTCTAACCCCAAATAGTCTTGCATCTCAGATGATATTCTGGCACTCTGTGAATCTCAACCCCTCCCTCTACTGCATCACTGGTGCACCCATAAATTGGTCTCCAGTGTCAGTCTCCTCCTTCCTTTGCTAATGTTTGGCTCTTGAAGGATCTATCAAGGGATCCAGTGTTAACCACATTTTCAGTTTCCTTTCCAGCTCCCCGACATGATGTTTTGATTATAAAAATCTTCCTTCATTGGCATCACTTGCTGCAACTTGGATTATAATTGATGGGAGCTGTCCAGCAGCCTTTAGAATAACTGATACCTTTATTGTGATAGCATCTGTCCTGCCGACTGGGAGGCAGCATATCATCCTGTTTTCTATAGGCCATAGATGTTTTGGGCTACAGTTCTCACTACGTAGTCACCAATTGGGATTATTAAATTTCTGGATCCTTTTAGGTGCTTGCTTTTGGTCAAAAGATTGCAGTACTGATTTTGAGACAATACCTTCATCAGGTATTGGTGGTGACTGGTATGGAAGGCTCCATATCAACAAGTGTCTTCTTTCCCCTTTCTAGGAGTCAGTTCTGTTTTATGTCCACTCATGCCCATATATAAAAGAGCAGATCTAACAAATTAATCTGTTTTTCTACTAGTAAAAGCATTTTTTTTTCTAAATTAAATTGTTGCAGAGAAGCCTTTCCATTTCAGCCACTACAGCTAGGTTGCCATGAAGAAGAATCATCCTCTCTCTTGAATGGGGGGGGGGGAGAGAGGGGGCTCCCTAACCCCCATCCCTAACACTATCCATCATTTACCCTCTCTTCTACCCCAGTTGGCAACACTTGGGGCTGGCTGAAACAAAGACTAGTCTCGGACACACCCCCTGGATGTTTGGCTTTATTGGCTTAGTTTCTTAATCTCCTACCCCTCTTCCTGGGGTGTATTGTTTTGCTGACAGCCAGGATGGCTCTGGGAGTGGCACGTCCCACAGCTGTCGTCTTCTCCTCAGCTGGACTACCTTTGTTACCCTCAGTCTTTGGAAGAAGTAGCCTTCTTCCAGTTCACCACCCTTTCCTCTGGAAAATTTCCCCTTTAAGCACCTCTTCCTCCAAGCTGAACATGCCTTGCAGGTGTGCCTTGTTAGCACACTACAGGCCCAGAAGAACTCATTAGCCTCCTCCAGCCCTGTGTGAGGGTGTAGCCCTTCACAAACACAAACAGAGTTCTTTAAAGGGTGTGAATTATGTCAGACCCCAAATTTACTTAGTCTTTAAAGCTGAACCTTCTTGCAACAAACTAATTTTGTTTTGAAACTGATCCCTTTGGTTCTGAGTCATTTAAAAAAACCCACAATAACATGCTGCTCTTAGTGTAGTTAGTGCACAAAAATAGTGGTACGAAGCTGTGCTAACAACACACAGAGGTGAATTACAGATCACCTGGTTGGATGGAACTGTTTTAGAAGATATATTATGCTTATCAGTCTCTCAAAGCACAGTTTCCTCCTTGAATGACCTTTGAGAAACATATTCCTGAGGTTATTGAATTGTTCACAGCAGACTTAGTTCTCTGTATGTAGAATAAAAAGAGAAAAGCTTAATTGCTGAAGAAGAAAGACTTTTGTTCTGTATATGTTGTTAATTTATGTTTCAGGATATTTTTGAATTGCAAATGTGTCAGCTGGTTACTACTTATCTTGGTTTGCAATTACTGCTCTCAGGCTTAATCATCATGTTCATAGCTGGGAATGTTCCCTTCTTAAAACTAAAGGCCCAAATGGATGGGCAGCTAACCACAGTCTTCAGCATTTTAGCCCATAGACTACCAGTGTTTTCAAGTGTACCAGCCATATTAATGATTAGGATGATGCACATGTCTGTGATGTCCAAAGGGGATTTCCCCCAATATTCAGTTTATAATGTGACTTACTGACTAATTCAAATACATTATACTCCACTTCTTGTCTATCCCTTTGTTTCCAAAGGGTCTAAGCCAAGAAAGAAAACAAACCTTTTTTTTGCCACCCATTAATCTTGTTGAACAATCTCCCCTACTGATTGAGGTCCTTTGTAGCTTACAAGGAAAGAAAAATGGAAAGAGGATTTAATAGCTATGACTATGTATCTAATCTTATCTGTCTTTCATCTAAGCATGTATACCACAACCATCAACAGAGTATCTGAGTGCTAAACAACTATTGTCTTAAACAGTTTATGCTTGTACTTGCTAGGTGTAGAATTAGAATATACAAAGTATGGTGTATGTTCGTGTCTGCATATATAATACAGAGTACTTGTATGTGGCGTCTTTGTTACCTATATTGTTGTTGGTCACTGTAGTGAAGCGGCCTGGCTCCCGACGGCCCCTGAGAGGGAAGAGCCAGAACAGGCACCCCAGTGGGCGGAGCCGCCGGCACCTGTTCCCGCCCCCCGGAAGTGGGCGGAGCCACCGGCACCTGTTCCCGCCCCCCGGAAGTCAAGGGGCGGGACAGGAAGTATAAAAGCCAAGCCCCAGCACTCAGTTGGAGCCCAGCGGCCGGAGAAGCCAGACGCTCCTGCTCGGGCTCCTGCTAGACCGCGCCTGCCCCGAGCCAGGTATCCGGAGGTGGACGGACCAAGCCTCCCCAGAGCCAGGTATCCGGAGGTGGACGGCCCGAGTCTCCCCAGAGCCCGGTACCCCGAGGTAGGCTGGCCGAGCCTACCCCGAGCGCGGTACCCCGAAGCGGACTGGCCGAGCCTGCCCCGAGCGCGGTACCCCGAGGAGAGGCCCGAGCATCCCCCTGACCTGAGACCGGAGGAGCGGCCCGACCTAGACAGCCCTCAACACGCCGAGGAGCCCATGGTGTGGGACCCCGCTGCCGAGCCCAGCGAGGAGCAGGTACCCATGGAGGAGGAGGAGATGGGAAGTGGCCCGGGGATCGCAGACCCGGAACCGATGTCAGTGTGTTGCGGGCAGGATCCCCACTGACACCGTGGCAGACGGTCTGCTGCGGATAGGGCCCCGGGCTGGAACACAGTGGAGTGGGTGGGCCTGTGTTCCCCCCTGCCACCCCACGCCGGGTGGCAGTCTCTCCTCCTCCCTGCCCAGGGCAAGGACTGCCCCAAGTGCTCAGCTCCTGCTATCAGGACCTGAGCCCCTGCCTTTGTTTGCTGCCCCGCCCTGACCAAGGGCCTGGGCTAACTGACTCTGTTTGCTGCCCCGCCCTGGCCAAGGGCCTGGGCTAACTGACTCTGTTTACTGCCCCGCCCTGACCAAGGGCCTAGGCCACCTGACTCTGCTTTGTGCTCAGCTCCTGACCCAAGGACCTGAGCCCCCCTGAACTATTGATTGCTACCCCGCCCTGACCAAGGGCCGGGGCTACTAGACTTTATTTGTGCTCA